CGCGAGGTCTGCAGAACGAGGGCTACACAGGTCACAAGGTATCGCGTTGATAATCCAGATTGCTGTGAATCGTGATAGTCTCTGCGTCGTCAAAGCCCATACCTTGTGTTCAGCACGTATCATACACCTTGTCATGATAATGCGACTGGTTCTAATGTTAATGTATCACTGTAACAATGTTGATCGATAACGTTGACATGGACTGATTGATAACGCCTGATTATCGAGTGGCATTGAAGCGTAATGTACAGCACGTATTATGATATTGGATCAAAGTTGGCCCGGATGTCATACGTCGGTTAACACGTGTCGTTTTAAAAAAATACAATTTATGACTGAGTAACGGAGGTATAATATACCATGAAAATGCCTCTATCGGATGCCTCCGTGCAGATGGGTTTCCCAGTGATTTGTCAACCGTCTAAAATGCGAATCGGGTGTCTGATGCAAAGGTTGGTTGGTTTGTTGTTTAACGCCCCACTCAGCAATATTCCAGCTATATGACGGCGGTCTGTAAATAATCGAGTCTGGACCAGACAATCCAGTGATTGACATCATGAGCATCGATCCACGCAATTGGGATCGATGACATGCATCAACCAAGTGAGCGAGCCTGACCCCCCGATCCCGTTAGTCTCCTATTACGACAAGCATAGTCGCCTCTTACGGCAACGGAAGACAATGATGAGTATGCGTTGTAACACTACGACGTGGGCTGCTGCATGGTCATCGACTCCGTTAGTACATTTACGCGTATACGAGGGAGTAAGATAAGATAAGATAATATTTATTGCAGAAACGTTCCATTACGGGACAGATGCAATTTTAAAAGACAAGACATTATGATTCATATATACATATATACAGACATACATAATTTACATAACTGTAGACACATACAAAAACAAAACAATCAATATAACATATTTGATGATATTTTTATACATAAAATGTCAACGGTTGATTATGAAGGGGTATTTATTGTTTGAAATTATAGATATGGAAACAAATGCAGTTGATATTGACTGCTTCATTATTTGACAGGATGTAGTGAAATAATTTATCTTCATGACTGTGGGCATTTACATTTACATTTTGTCTGGATACTTTTTTAAAGAGTATATTTCTTTCTTGAGTGTGTTTAATACAGTGAAGTAAGTAGTGTTTTTCGTCATCAATGGTTGAACATGTAGAGCATAGCCTCTGATGTAGTGGGGTTGGTGGCTTTGTATGTTTTCCAAGTTCAATATTTAATTTATGGTTACTTAATCTTAGTTTAGAAAAGTGAACTCGATATTTTTTTACTTTATAGTGACTGAGATAGGGTTCTAATTTTATTTCATTGTTAACTATCCTATATGTCCTAAGTTTGTTTCCTGTGCCTCTTGTTGTATTCAGGTAGTTAAACTGATATGGTAGACAAATGCTAAGTCTCTGAAAATATATAAATTTGATAGAAAAAAACACGTACATTTAAATTGAAAAGGAGCCCCGATGCGGTGGGAGAACCTGGGGATAATCTAGACTTGCATCATTTAGGTCTATATCATTACAGTAAGGGCTCGTTGGAAGGGAAAATATTATGGTTTGGGGACTGTACGACAGACTACTGATATGGTTATGTAGCCTATAGTGCTTAGACGTTCTCTCCTTGGGACTTATTAAACCCGAATGTCCATGACCTAAATAACAGTCTACGGAAAAATCTTCGTAATGTTATCACTGGACCAACTCTAGGTACACCTTTATCGTCAACTTTATCATATCATTGTATAAGAAGTTTGTAACTATAACCAAGCGCTCTTGAATTTACCCGGGGGTGAGTCAACACAGATGAACTTACATTACTTTAAGTAAATAATACGTTAGTCAATTAAATCAATCCTATTTAAGCAATAAGGCTCTACAAACAAGGTGATTTAAATACATTAAATGAAATGATCACATTTACATATTGGGAAGAATTATTCACAAATTGTGAGAAAACTGATTATATTTGCGGCCATCTTTCCAAGGCAAGAGCATCCACTAGCCTATTATCAAAGTCCACTTCCCAACTCTCCTAAGGTCGGAGACCAGGGCTCGAATTCTTAATACATGAATACAATGAAACCGATTTGATAATACTAAAACCGGCGTAAAACCATACTTACCAGCTCACTCATGCAATATTTCAGCTATTTGATGTTTTTTTGTTTCTTTGTTTGCTGTTTAACGCCGCACTCAGCAATATTCCAGCTATATGACGGCGGTCTGTAAATAATCAAGTCTGGACCAGACAATCCAGTGATTGACATCTTGAGCATCGATCCATGCAATTGGGATCGATGACATGCATCAACCAAGTGAGCGAGCCTGACCACCCGATCCCGTTAGTCGCCTATATCGACAAGCATAGTCGCCGTTTACGTCAAGCATGGGTTGTTGAAGACCTATTCTACCCCGGATCTTCACGGGTACGATGGCGACCCGTAAATAATTGTATCTGGACAGGACAAACCAGTGATTGATATTGTGAGCAGTGTTCCACGGTGTTGGGTGTCCGATGACATACAATCAACCAAGTCACCTAGCCGGACCTCCCGATCCTTGTCTCATCTTACTACAAACATACATGCATTCCAATCCGGATTCCCCATGGCGTCTAACATGAAAACTTGTGAAACCAATATACTTAAGGGGTCGGTGGGGTAGCATAGTGTTTTGGCGCTCGCTCGTCACGCCAAAGTCCCGGGTTCGATTCCCCACATGGATACAATTTCAAGCCCATTTCTGGTGTCCCCGGTCGTGATATTGCTGAAATATTGTTAAACGTGAACTAAAACCATACTAACTCACTCACTACGCTTAAGTTACCCACCCCGGTAAATAGTGCGAATATCTTGGAAATAGCTATACTCTCACACTCACGAGTCAATGACAGTCACTACGTAGTATATTAAAGTTCGAACCAACATACCACATACATGGTTACTTTGACACTATGTGGGAAAATCACAATATGTCATATTCGGTAGACAAAACTAACGGACGTGATAAGACTATTGGCGCCACTACGCCCTATATATAATTTGTGAAATCTCGCGTGATTAACAGGTGCGCGAAAAAACACTAAACATATTGTGGGTCGATAACAGTGAGCGTTTCGTACGACTGTCAAAGTCCCTATTTCTGTTATTATGACATATTAAAAGTGGTTGAGTGAGTTGGGTTTAACACCACTTTGAACAATATTCCAGTCATGTCACGGTGGGGCAGGTTGGTGTGGAAGGAAAGCACGCAGTGATACAGGTCTCAGACGTTTACCACTTTGGTGAAAGCCAGGTATGGTGCTAGCAAACCTAGAAACATAATCGGGGCGAACCGGGATTCGAACCCACAATCATAGGTTCCTGGCGTGTTAATGGGACGCAACTCTGCACAGCGTCTTGCAGCGCCGTAGGCGAATGGGCCACCTGTGACCCCATTTATATTAAGAAACGGTATAGGAAACGAATGGTAATGTTACCTTATTGATTCACCAAAACATAATCTTTGTTAGTGCCTGCGGAATATCGGCAGTTAATCTAATCAAAACCAGTCCAGATGATAAACATAGACAGGTCTCTCTCGCTGTATTCCGCATAGTTGGAATCTTCCAACAACCACTTAACTTCAGTATAAAAGAAATTAACCCCCTATTAAAGGACCCACTTAATATAATAAACACATGCAAAAACAGTCCTTTCAAAAGTTGGATAAACAATTCCCATTGAGATATATTTTTTTATGATGCCTAGAGATGTGTGTTAGTATGATGTGACGCAAAACATGCGTTATCAGTTTTCAATCTTACATGTGAAAAGATTGAACACGTCTGTGTAAGGGTGGGCAGACAGACAGACAGACAGATGCAATATGTGGTCTATGCCAAGTATGTTTTTACAGTTATATGTTTTACTATTTATACACCTTTTTATGATATTAATTCATTTAACGATATCACAAATTCGATGTTATGATAAAAAATGTATATTATAAAGTACATTTATGGGTACCACAAATTTTATTCTAAGATATTAATAAATGTATATACATGTATGTTATAATGCATTTTGTAACATCTTAAAATGTATTTTATAATATGAAAAAACTAGTTTGTGATGATCTAAATATATATCGAAATTGGGATATCATTTATCAATAAATTGAATTTGTGATATTAATTCCCCTTTTCAAGGTATAATTGCTCCCTTCATTGTGCTTATTGGTACTGTTGGGATCTGAAATCATCAGCAGAATGTCATGTTTAGCTCAATATTTAGCGCCTAGTATTTTTAATAATTAACCCACAAACAGACAACAACAAAAAATCCACAAATTTATATGCATGGTGGACGTGACAATTACGTTGCCAATTAGATCTACTGTGGAAGAATTCTTTTTCATAACAACCTAAATTTTATATCTGTAAATACATTTATACAGTGCGTTAATTTGTACTGGTGATTGTTTGGTTACAATGTGTCATCAGCTGACCATGTGTTGACGGCTTGGTCCGTTGCTCATGCTATCAATCACAGGTTTAAACTGTCCGATTGGTGACGCAACACAGTTAACATACATTCTCTCACTACATATCATTGGAAGATGCAAGGACATTGTATACATCAGCAGCAGAACGTCGAACGTATTCCAAAATATAATTTTGAAAATCCTAGGGAAAGGAATATTTATCCAACATTACGTTTGAGCCTTTACGACAAATACCGATAAGGCCTCGCACGGGTAATCAAATTACGCATTTTCTTGGTTATACTTTGGCCTATATAAATAGTGAGTTAAATTCACATCCCTAAACTACCCTTCTTCCAACAAATCATCATATATCATATTCGTTTGAGACTTCAACGTGTCATATAGCTAGTAAAACGCATTTTCTTAGTTCGTTGTGTTACCCCATTTCGAAAAAAATAATATATTTTCATATTTGTTACTCAATCACGACCACGTATTGTTTCACTGCGGACTTAGTGACGGGAAGTGACGTCATATTTACTTTTGTTATTTCTACGACAACCTTTTAGCTATGTTTAAGAAGTTATTTTGCAACTGTCAGCCTCGATTGTTTGCATTTGACCTATGTATTCTCTCACAAGTGGTCCTGCTTTCTTCAGGTAAATCAAGAGTCTGAACTTCAGCTGTATCGGGAATGATTTGGAATCCAACTTCGTGTGAATGTGTAGCTGAAACATCATGTCCGACGATACCCACAAGTGTCTACGTGACGATAGGAATGTATGCCAACTGTGTGGTGCACTAGATAATTTATCGCTGTGTACAGGGTGTAGAAAGACTTGGTATTGTTGTAGAGAACACCAGAAGGCTGATTGGAGGGAACATAAAAGACGATGCGCAAGTAAAAGCAAAAAGAAAGAGTCCAAAAAAACAGTGCATGGGGAAATAGTCTGTCCCTCGGACCAGTCGACCAGTGGCAGCAGTATTACAATGCCGACTGACATAGCTGTTGGTGACCGGTCATCAGCCCAATGGGGCGAATGCAAGAGTGCCGAAACACACGCACGCAGTGTAAACAAAACAGTCAAGGAAGTATACAGTCGTGACAACAAACCTGACGAGTTGTGTTGCGCAGAGGCAGATGAAACCAGTCACGCATCAGTACCAGTTCCAGAAGAAGGGAGTTCAGAAGCCTATATATTGCAGACAGCAGCCAGCTCCCTTAGTCAACCTTCTGGTGCTTCAGCTGACAGTGGAGACACAATGAGAGAACACATCACCAACCCTCTAGATTCATCAGAGACTTATGTCACTGTTCTGAAGTCACGCTTTAAAGAATTAGCAGAATATGTGACAAATTGTCTCACCAAGTATGGTATTTGTGTGATTGACAAATTTCTTGGTGAATCAAAAGGCGTAGACATTCTCAATGAAGTGAAAGAGTTATACCGATCGGGTGTTTTCAAGAATGGACAAGTTGTTGACTCTGAAAGTACCAGTAATACCACAAGAATCAGAGGTGATATGATAACCTGGGTAGATGGTGCTGAGGATGGATGTCAGGATATTTTGTTTTTGATATCCTGTATGGATGATATTATTCTACAGTGCTCTGGTAAACTGGAACACTATAGGATTAGTGAGAGAACGAAGGTAAGTCATCATCATGAATTTATCATGTTCATGAAATTCAGTTGACATTAATGTTTGGACTAATTATGTTATGAGTTCATGTGTGACCCATTTTCTAACATGTCAAAGCCGCCACGTGTTTGTACTTAAAGGGGGTTCCAGTAGAAGATGAGATACAATTGTACACTTTAGCATAAGCATGTTTAGTGTCACCTTTAAAGTTTATGTATGTCTTGATCATGCATGGCATACACAACTCATCATTCCTTGGTCTATCTGTGTATGCAAGACTGTAATGTATTGATCAGTGTTCAAATTTCAGCATGAAAGTTACTTGTCATAAACCCTGATGTTCAAATTTAAATATTTAAGTGGTCTCTAGACCCAAACACAATGTCAACAAACCTCAAGTCTGACAAGAACCACAAGCAGGACCGCTCTTTATTTAGAACACTGTCAACGTTCAACTTGCACATACTTTTCTCAAGTGATCTCTTTAAATTAAGGTCATGTACTCAAACTGCTTTGAGCATGCTGAGTGTATGATTGAACACATGGGATAGTTTGGTACTTTATGATTCTCAAAATGTAGTGAATTTTGATTCTCTCTACCAACATGACCAAATATCATTATGAACCAACAGTTAGGTCTATTAATTGTACAGATGCATATGACAAGGTGTTGACATGTTTTACAGTTACTGTAACTGGTCTTGCTCTTGTATCTAATTATTTATAATAATAAATGCTTTAGATTGACATTCAATATGTTCACAATGTTACACATCTGAGATTTGTTCAAATTCTACTTGTGCTAGGACATTGATCATAGTTGACACTATAAAAGACTTTTTTCAGGTTTGGCATAGTGATTTATCTGAAAGCCCCAAAATTCGCTTATCATGCACAGTTTATGTGAGAACTATTTAAGTAGTATTACCATGATTACTGTAAATAAATTCAGAACCACATTGACTTGTTTTCAGCTTAGTTTTCACAATTTAGAAATTGAACGTGGACAACATTATAATATTCCTCGTGAATTTAGAAAATGTAAAGTTTGTAACTTAAACCATATTGAAAATGAATATCACTTTTTGTTAATTTGTCCAGCTTATCATGCTTATAGCCATCTTAGGCAAAGTTACATAGAATCTAAATTCTACATGTTTCCAAATATTCTGAAGTTTAATACACTAGTCATTGCAAGACCCTATTATCATTATGAATACAGCAAAGTACTTGTTTTATGCCAATGCTGTAAGAACACAAACACTCCAACATTTATCATATGCAAGTATGTTGAAACTGCTTTTGTTAAAAAAGCAAAGAAATGTATTATATCTTATACTGTTTGCACCTAAATTGTATTTCGTCTGTACAAAAGGCCCTTGACCTACAAGTACTGAATAAAGTGAAGACAGATTGTTATCCACATGATCCAGAATGTCCTAAAATTGTATCCAAATATGTAGTGATACGAACATGATGGAGGAATGGCCTATCAAAAATTTAAAAGATCATGAAAACGTCCTATTGGAAACTGTTCAGCAAAATCACTGTTTCAAATTGCTATAAGTATTCATACATGACACACTGTGTCCTGTCTTATTCTGTCAGGTAAGCATGGTAAGGTCATCTGATCCTTGTCAGTACATCATGCTGAAGAACTATGTTCAATTCCCCACATTGGTACAATGTGTGAAGCCCATTTATGTTGTGCCCCCCCCCCCAGCTGTAATATTTCTAAAAACGGTGTGAACTCTACTCATTCAATCAGTCACTTGTCAGTATAAAAGATCTAAATGATCTCAGGTAACATGTTTGTTTGGGGTGGTATTCATTATCAGAAAGTTTTCTGCTCAGGCTGTATGATATGATACTTTTCCCATTATACATGTTATACAATGCACACAACAAGACCCTGTAGACAGAGCTGGGTTTTTTTCATGGAGACAACTCTTGATAACCTGTATACCATGTTCTATATTATTCTTGTTACCAAATTCTACACACAATATACATGATCATGATGATGGGGTCATCTTTCTTTCTTTTTTAAATGATAAAATACAATCATTATAAAGACATATATATATAGGTGTTTTGTTTGGTTTTGCACTTCTTGATTTCAAATAATAGTGTTGGGTTATTGTGTAGCCTTGCTCCAAGGCTGTACTGAACAATGCCGAATGAGGATTGTATGGATGTAAAGTAATTCTATCCTTTTTATGGGCAGATCTAGATAACCTGACCTCTGAGGATGCCAGTCTTTTATTCATGTTATAGGGACAGCTTGTTCTTATTATTTATATAACGTAGGAATTATGATTTATTTTAACTAATAATTATTTCCTTAGAGACTTGTGCAAGTCAAGTTATCGTTGAGTGAGCTTTGGACTGTGATACAGCAAACTCTATATACATGATATACGTAATTGCTTTATTGATTAGATATTTTGGCAGTCGCTAATCATTTTTAATGTCCAAATCAATTGTTTGTTTAACCAGTTATTTGATTAATCATTCCGCTACTAACACATGTAACAAGTAATGGATTAAGTTGTCAATAAACAGGGCACGGATTCTCATGGCTGTCAAGCACTTATAGTTTCTAAATTATTATTTTTGGATTTATGACCTGGATGACCATCAGAAACCTAAGACAAGATGGCTTCAAGGATAGGGCTACAAGTCTGAAATTTACACCATGTACACTAACTCTTAGTCTCGGAAAATATAGAATTTTGATAGAAACAAGCAACTACTTTTAAATTGGAAAGGAGCTCCAGTGAGTATGTCGAGATGGAAGATTCAGAAGCTGCAGGAATTCTAGACTTGCTTCATTTAGTGCTATGCCATTACAGTAAGGGCTTGGCGGAAGGGAAAGTAATATGGTTCAGGGACTGTGATACAGACTAGGCTGAAATGCTACAACTGTAGTAACTGAATATGTTGAATTCCAGAACTTCAAGGGGAAGCCATCTCTCAAATTGGAATGATACATTACTCTTCTATGTAAATTCAATGAAAATCATATCTGCCACCGATGGTGCTGATGACTGCAGTTTGTAATACTGTGACTGTTCAGTACATGCATTGCAAGGTGATAACCAAATAAATGTGGTTGGAGCACCCTCCGACTGCACAACGTTGCACAACGCTCTGCAGCATTCCATTGTCCACTATGATCTTTTGAAAATATGCTAGGGCTGAAGAATTTGACATGTACAGCATCTCAACTTGATGTTGTCATAAATTCTACGCACATTGTCATATTTATAGCAGCTGGCTTGGTGCATCCTTGAGTTTGTTTGTGAGGAGCAGCCTAGTCTTGAGGAAACTACGTCATTCAGGTGTCAGCTGACAATCACATGGGGAATATTTTTCAACTTTTTTTCTGAATCCTTTAATCTGCACCATCTGGCCAAGATGTTTACATGGTTAATGGCATTGTTCCGAAGCTACAAGTCAGCGTTTGCTTCCAAGTGAATCAACATGATCAAGGATGCTGGTGTTTTGTGAATTATTCACAGATTTTATTAACAATATTTAATCAAACTGAAGCAACACAAGGATGGTAGAGAAGAAGGAGACTGAATAAATTTTATTCTACAACTTTTTTTTCCAAAGATGAATGTTTCCTTTTCTGTTCGGGTCAGTTGTAGTGTACAGTCTTTATTGATTATTCTGTGTGCAACATCTGTTCCAGGGATTGAAATGAAAAGTCTTCTGAAACTCTACTGATTGTTAGGATGCTTTTTGCATTTGGCAAGCGTACTTACGCTAGCAGCCCTCTGGGGTTTCTAGGTTTAATAGCATAGGTCCCCAGCAAGCTGTGCTGGTCAAAGAGGTGACTTACTGGATTGGGTGGTCAGGCTCAGTGACCTGGTTTGAAGGCATGCCATCACACTCGAATGGGGTGGATCATTGCTCAATACGGGGCGGTCGGGTAGCCTAGTGGTTAAAGCGTTCGCTCGTCACGCCGAAGACCCGGGTTCGATTCCCGACATGGGTAAATTGTGTGAAGCCCATTTCTGGTGTCCCCCGCCGTGATATTGCTGTAATATTGCTTAAAGCGGCGTAAAACCATACTCACTCACTCGATCATTGCTCAATACAGTGTATAATATCAATCACTTGATTATTTACAGGCCTGCATCATATAGCTGACTGCTATGTTAAACAACAAACAAATATGTTCAAGCTAGAGGGTTAGCACAAATTTCTATTCCAGTGCAGTTTGTTAGGAAGTAACCCTAGAATACTGTTTATCATGCTAACATCTGTGTCGACTTTCGTGAGACACCCAGAGCTCCAGATAAGCTGCGTATCTGCGTGAAATATGCATCAGAAATGCAGAAATACACAGTAAAATATAATCCAAGCGTATCAAATACGCAACGAACATTACAGATACGCTACAAAAATAAAACTTGTGCGTATCATCAAAATATTGTGAAGTAACCCTGCGTATTCGATTCACAAATCAGCAACTTATTTTTTAAATTATAAACGGGCATTCCGTCAACCTTGCCAAACTCCACGATGACAGTTACATCATGATCATTTGCCATCACAGTTTCTTGTGGAAGTATCGTGGTATTTTTGAGTCCTATAAAGCTCTCGAACCCACACGACACCAGTTTGCAGGGACTAGATGAATAGTGTTTTTAAATATTTAACTTAAATACCCACATGTGTAAAAACTAGTGGGAAACAGAAATTTGAATACGCAGATAGAATTACTGATACCCAATGATTTTAAAATGCATGGGTAAAATACCCACAGCACCAAAAGCTTATCTGGAGCTCTGGACACCAGAGGAGGTACAATATGATCATGGTTTAGTACATAACAACATTAGTTTCTCATATTCATGTATATATATGTATACTAATAATATAGGTTATCCCGCGAGATACAGGAAATGCACTTCCCAAAACACACAAGTGTGATAACCTCTTTGTAATATAATGTCAATCTTAAACGCTTATCAAAATTTATCTCTCTCACAAACAGGACCTAAACATTACAAATTTTCCTTGAATGTGCATAGTATTATATTTCTGAAGGTATCCAATGGCAATGAACCAAAAGTGGGTAATGAGTTATAACTCCATATTCGAATTGCTCCATACACAATGATACAGGGGTGATATGTCCTCTCCTGATGACTCTTGTTTATTTGCATATTTATCTGTAAATGACCCCAACAGATACCATTATTTTCCTGTTCGCATAATCCTGCAGAGGAACCTTGTATGATAAATGATGTGAATGTGAGAATAATTGTCACATAAAAACATGATTCATCTTTTCTGTTCTTGTAATAACTGGGCTGTTTAATACATTCAGTGAGCTTCATAACGAATTGAATAAGGAGACCATGTTTCAGGTGAATAAGTCCACACTTTGTGTTGAATGGTAGTTAGATCGTAGGATTATGTCATCCAGCTGATGTCAACACAGTGCATCAGCCCACCGGTGTGGTGGTGTGTGGTTACTGCATTTATGTTTACTGTGTGGTTCTAGGAGAGGTACTTCAAACACTGATTGCACTCCTGAATAATGAAGTCACCTGAACATTGATATAAAATTTATTGAGGTAGTAACTATAGTATGGAAAGTACTGTTTTACTCTGTTTTTATGGTTACTGATTCCTGGAACATGTAAAAATGTACAATTTCAATTAGGGGTAATATTTCACAATATTTTGCTCAGGGGCCCCAAGTCAGTGTCTGCCCCAAATATCAGTCCATATTTCTAACTTGAAATTAAAATTTCCCCAATTCATGTTGTGTCTGTGTAGAGGTGACTTGTATTTCACTGATAAACGCACCAGAAGAATGATAGTAGAATGATAGATACAAGGCTCAAGAGGCTTGAATATATTTTTACACTGTTGCCTTAATGCCATGTTGGAATACCCCTTGGTCTTACTTTAAAAAACAATGAGGATGTTTTCCCAGTTTTCCTGTCAAGGGCTTTAGTTTGGAATTCGAGATAAATCGCTGGGTGTATGAATAGCTTTAGGAATATGAACCTGTGGTATAGTTATCAGTGGTTATTATGATATTTTATCATGCTTTATGTTATTATATCCTCTTCAGATTTGCATACAGATAAACTGAAATGAAATTTGAAATAACTTATTTTGTGTTTCAGGCAATGGTTGCCTGTTACCCTGGTAACGATACGGGTTATGTTCGTCACGTGGACAATCCAAATGGGGATGGTCGTTGTGTGACTTGCATCTACTACCTCAATGAAAACTGGGATGTGCGGGTAAGTCATAAGATAATATTCACATGTCACCAGCAGCTGTTCGCAGCTGCAATATTGCCCAGAGTGGTGTTCACAAAAAACTAACAAAAAGACAGGTCACTGTTTACATTTTACTGTTCACGTTTACATTACACTGTTTACACTACATACCATTTTTTAACTACATGGCATTGTTTACATCCCACTGGCTCTGTTCACATCTACATGTGACTGTTTACACCCACATGACACTGTTTACACCCAAATGGCACTGTTTACATCCATATTGCACTGTGTACAAACACATGTCACTGTTCACATCTAAATGCCACTGTTCACATCCACATGTCACTGTTCACATCTACATGTCACTTTTCACATCCCCATGACACTGTTCACATCCACATGTCACTGTTGACATCCACATGGCACTGTTGACATCCACATGGCACTGTTTACTCCCACATTGCACTGTTTACTCCCACATGTCACTGTTGACATCCACATGGCACTGTTTACTCCCACATTGCACTGTTCACATCCACATGACGCTGTTTACTCCCACATTGCACTGTTCACATCCACATGACGCTGTTTACGTCCACATGGCACTGTTTACTCCCACATTGCCCTGTTTACACCAACACGTCACTGTTGACATCCACATGGCACTGTTGACATCCACATGGCACTGTTGACATCCACATGGCACTGTTGATATCCACATGACACTGTTGACGTCCACATGACACTGTTCACATCCACATGTCACTGTTTACATCCACATATCACTGTTCACATCCACATGACACTGTTCACATCCACATGACACTGTTCACACCCACATGTCACTGTTGATGTCCACATGACACTGTTCACATCCACATGTCACTGTTCACATCCACATATCACTGTTCACATCCACATGACACTGTTCACACCCACATGTCACTGTTGACGTCCACATGTCACTGTTCACGTTCACATGACACTGTTTGCACCCACATTTCACTGTTTACATTTGCAAACTTGATGATTTCGGTTACCACTTTGAGGTAGCTTATGCCATCAGATGATTTTCTTGGTTGATCACACTGTACAACAAAGTTGGGAGAATTCCTTCATGAGTCTGGCCAATCTGTATGCATAAACATTAAAGTTGTGATAAGGATCCCTTAGTTTCATAGACTGCTGGACAGTAGGAGTGGTAGAATAATCCTCACTGCCACGATAACTCTGAGACATCTTGTGGTGGAATACACAACTAAAGTTCATTATTTGATAGTATACCACACAAAAACGTTAAGGACCATCCTGTTCTTTCGTTTTACCACAGTTAATCTGTCATGCCGAAGACAAACTATAGTTGTATGACGAGTCGTGTTGTCCCTAACCTTCACGAGTAGTACTAGTAAATATCTATGAAGTGGAAGATTGCAAGAGTGGTTGGATAAACAAGGGTTTCTAATCATTCTCATATACCAATTTGGCTTGCTGTGGGGTATATTCATGGCATGATATGATAAAGATAGATGTCAAGTGTCTGACATGGTGCTTGTCTTGGAAGTTTAGCTGATGAATGAACATTGATGAAGTCAAGGCCAACTTGCCATGATGTATTTCTGGTGTAACTGGGCCAGCTGCTAACAAGCCCACCATTCATCAAGCCCTTGAGGGTCACACCAGGGTTATTATTAGATTGCGTGTTTGCTTGATGTTTGCTTTTGACACAAGAATAAACTAGTTTGACAGAAATAGTATGCTCCAAGTTGCAGCACCATACATCCCATGTAAACAGGTCATGCCTCATATCTGACGAAAGTAGGTCGAAAACAGATTCCTCTTCAAACTGTTTTGAGATGGTGCCAGGGATACAGAAATAACCATCTGTTCATGGTGGACTTTGATTTAATCCAGTGTCGTCACCAGACACATTTTTCTAGTAGTTTTCTAACCTTTTGATACTCAATTTGTGTAATCCTATTTATCAAGGAATGCAGGAGGATTTTGTTAAATGCCCGCGTCACGGACTCGTAGTAGAGAGAAATGCACTTGTTCCCAAGCCTGTATCTGTTAATAAACTTGTATTACATAAATATATCCTAAAGGCTGCCAAAATATCTACCCATGAGGTTATTATGTGAAATTGGGGAATTTTGTGTTGGTGCCAAAATACGTTTGAGTCTGCAAGCCCAACCTTCTATTTTGGAATTATTTTCAGTAAATAATTCTTGTTAGCTTTTCTATATAGACTAATATGAGACAGCTAGGTGATAAATCACAAAGAACAATGAAAAATGAAGCATGGTTTATTTCACGATAAAACATTGTTCTATGTTGATGTCAATATCTGGAGATTCGAATATTTGGTCGCAACTTGATGACGTCATATATTGGACACATTTTTTTTGAGAGGGAAGTGTCCAGTAAGTTTTTCACCATAGATGTACCTGGGCTATGCAGATAAACACAGTGGCCAAACTATTGCATCCAAAAGTGGGAGAGATGTGACAATCGGTACAAGGAGAAAAGGTACAGATAATCAACAAGAGGATTGTGAGAATATGCAGGAAATACCAAACTTAACCCACCTGTTCGTAAAATGGAATTGCCCGACATTTTCAAGGTCAGATTTTTTTCAGGGACTCGTCATTATTAAAATTTGGGTAAATATATTTAAAGCTTGTACATTTTATCAACATCCTTAAAGAGGCTGTACATATTGTTGATATCAAATAGAAGAAATAAACAACTCGTGGTCATTGTTTATCTTACAATAAAACAGTGCAGGGAGAATAAACCATGAGGGGAGCGTTGTTTATTTTAGAATAAAACAGTGCAGGGAAAATAAACCATAAGGGGTCCAGTCCTGCACTGTTTTATTGTATTATAAACAACGACCACGAGTTGTTTATTTCTTAAGTACAGGCTGATCACAGCCTACTGATAACCTATTGTCAGGTGAGGCTGCATTACACGTTCCACCATGAGCACCCTACTAACCCACGATTGAGGGTAACTGTGGCACTGCTGATATTTGATTGTACTGAAGCACTGACAAGACTTCACTGAGGGAGGGGGGTGGAAAGAATGTTTGTTTGTTTGTTTGTTGTTTAACGCCACATTCAGCAGTATTCCAGCTATATGACGGCGGTCTGTAAATAATCAAGTCTGGACCAGACAATCCAGTGATTGACATCATGAACATCGATCCATGCAATCGGGATCGATGACATGCATCAACCAAGTCAGCGAGCCGGACCACCCGATCCCGTTATTCGCCTGTTATGGCAAGACCAGTTCTACCCCGGATCTTCACGGGTCTGGAGAGAATGTATAACATATGCTGTTAGATGTGTCATTTTGTTTTGTATTAATTAATTACCTTCACATACAATACTCATCATGCTCATATGCATGTTTGTTGTCCTTGGGACATATGGGATTCTGAACAGTCTACATATTATGCTGCTAGTCAATGTAAACATTCATTTTTATCCCCCCGGCATACAATGGGCATGAAGTGCCTTTTGATATTTTGGGATTTTTCTAATTTTTATTTTTTTTCAATTTTTATGGAATGAAGTTGGACATAGACTCAATTGGGGATGGGGTTCGTTTCCAGGGTAGAATTCGAAAACCATTCAGTGTATTTGATCGAAACTAGGCACATCTATCAAGCACATACTGAAGTGGTGCCTTTTGATATTTTGGGATTTTTCTATTTTATTTTTTTCAATTTTTATGGAATGAAGTTAGACATAGACTCAATTGGGGATGGGGTTCGTTTCCGGGACGAAATAGAAAACCATTCAGTGTATTTGAGCGAAACTTGGCAAAGCTATCAGGCACATACTGAAGTGGTGCCTTTTGATATTTTGGGATTTTTCTAATTTTTATTTTTTTCAATTTTTATGGAATGAAGTTAGACATAGACTCCATTGGGGGATGGGGTTCGTTTCCGGGGCAGAATTCGAAAACCATTCAGTGTTTTTGAGCGAAACTTGGCAAAGCTATCAGGCACATACCGAAGTGGTGCCTTTTGATATTTTGTTTTTACGAATTTTTATTTTTTACAATTTTTATGGAAAGAAGTTGGACCTAGACTCCATTGGGGAACGGGTTCGTTTCCGGGGCAGAATTCGAAAACCATTCAGTGGGTAAACAATGTATGCTTCTTAAAGAACGTTCAACTGTTGACTCATTACATACAGAATTGCACATTTACTAGTGGTTACTTTACAGACAGCTCCCGGGGGGATATGTCATCTTTCTGATGACTCTTGTCACTAGTATCTAAGGTAACTACAGCCAATAAACATCTGTATTAAATTTAGGATGAAGATAGGGCCAGTTGGCAGTCCTAGCAAGTTTGATTCAAATCATTTAAAGCACACCTTGATTATGTGCTAACACCTAATTTGTGACACATAGAATACCAATATAGCAGTTAACATGGTTGAATGGGTTCTCTTACTCCGATCAAGTATAATTAAAGTCCCTCCAAAATATATACTTCCTTTATCATGTTTATCTGCAACTGTGTTGTCGTGACCCTAATGATGTTAACTATTTTAAGTTTTTAGGGATCTAAGATTCAAATACTATAATAAAAATACTCAATGACCCCTGGACCCTCTTAACGTTGAACTCTCTATCAGTGACTCAGTTTCACAACATCTTGACCTAGACTGGAAGTGGACTCCAGGCTGTGTGCTGTACTTCCTCTTTAATCATAAATTTATGATTCTCTTAATTATGGTGATATCTCTGTTTCGCACATGGCACCGAGCTGTTAATTCAGCTTGTTGGAAAGGGAGAGGCGACATTAAGTATTACAGGAATGGAAATGATGTGAAATATGCCTTTTGTAGTCATTTATATTTAGAATGATTGAAACCGGAGGGGATGTACACCCTTGTACCCTATATCGACCCCCTCTAGATCTACATACCACCACCTCCCTGGATCTACATACCACCCCTTCCTAGATCTGTGTAACCCCCTTCCGGATCTGCTTA